CGACTTTCAAACACATTTAAAGAGTGGAAAACATGGGAATATGGCACAAGTATAGGCTCTGAAATGACATACTCAATGGCCCCAAAACATGAAAACACCTCAGTATAAGCATGCAATAGGCTTCAAAACTCAAGGCTAGGCAAGGGTATTACACTACAACCATGCATAGAAAGCATCATTCGACCATGAGGCATAAAAACAGAGCTAAGGCAGTCCAAAATATGCACAAAATCAGTTTAAGGCATGGCCAAAAAGTGCTAGAATCAAAGACCAAAATAGCATGCAATACAAGCTAGTGAAGAGGATTTACACTACAAGTATATGAATCATGCAAGAGGTCACTAAACCAGAAAAATTCAGAGGTATGACATACCAAATAAAGCCCAAAAACTGATTGAAACATGGTCAATGCATGCAAGAATGACATGCTCCTTTGATAGGCTATGAAGAGGGTTATTCTACACATGCAAGATGGACACCCAATATGGAAAAACAAGCTCTGGAAAGAGCCTATGCAGGTCCTAAAACTCACCAAAAGTGGCCTGAAACATGGCTTGCAAGCATGCAAATAAGGGCTCCTTTGTTAGGCCAAATATGCTAGAAATCAAAACAAGGAGAGAGAGGGTCACCACTCTCCAATTTTGGAACTCAAAACCACATGATAGCCACTAGAAACCCACTGGATTTCAGTGGCTAAAAGTCCAAACAAAGGTCAAGGCAAAGGCCCTAATGCATGGCTCAAAATAAGGCAAAATGAAGAATGCAAGAGGGTAGATGACCCCCAACAGAAAAATGATCTCAAACAAACATGTTAAGGACCTCAAAATAAGACTTTTTTTAGTTTACACCAAAGCTCGAAAATGCTTGCAAGTATGGCTAAAAGATGAAGCAAAATAAAGATCAAAAGAGAGAATAGGGTGTTACCCTTGTAGCTCAGCAACTCCAGCAGCTTATGGACAAAAAATGCAGCTCCTTAGGACCTCTCAAGACCCTCCAAGAAGCTTAGGTTGGTGTTGGAGGTGTTAGGCTAGGAGATGGTGTGCAAAGGGGCAAGAACTAGACCCTTTTGAACCCTAAAATGAAGAGATATAGGGAGAGATATGTTGTATGCCTTCAAACAAAATCTCAACCTCTCTAAAGGAGAGGAATGCCCTCTCTTATAGCCAAAGGGGTCCAAAGCTTCTCCAAGAAGCTAAAAACAAGCTTGTAGATCCTCCATACACGTGTATGGAGGATCCATTCTGTGCCTTCCAGCTGGCACAGCTGGCAACAATTCACAGAGACAAAACTGAGGGAGGCAGGCCGACCAGTTTAGGTGGTCGGCCGACCATTTCCCCTGGTCGGCCGACCAGTTCAAAAGGTTCAAGTGAGTAAATGGTGGTCGGCCATCCCAATTGGTGGTCTCCCAACTGAATACAAGCTAGTGGTGTGATAGGAGACCAACAATTGTGGCCCAAAAGTGAGGGAGACCAATCACCTGTCAGGAAAACCGGCCGGCAGGGAAAAAGTGGCCTCCAAGGAGAAAAGGTGGTCTCCCACCCTTGTACCACCTTCCAAACAATGAAAATAGGGTCCATGCCAAAAATGAACCAAGACGGATGCAAAACGAGAGTTCGGGGGCCAAAATGCCCAGCCGGGTGCCCCGAAAACTGACTGTTAAGCATCGAAAGTGGCGTGCAACCACGAAGGTGGTCTCTCGGGCCACAGTATCCCTCTAGAGAGAGGAAGCAAGGTGTGTACCAAAAATCGGGCCAAACGGAGAAAGTTAAGCGGTCTCGAACCGAGGTGCGCGGCCGACGGCTCCGAAAATTAGTAACTAGTCTCCAAACGGGAAAAGTAGCCTACGGCCACCGAGAGATGGTCTACGAGACCTCTCCCTCCCTTCAGAAAGAGAAAACAAGACCTGGTTCGCAAACCGAGGCAAAGCACAAAGGGTCCCGAGGTCTAGGGGTAAGGCTCTCAGCCAAATTCCGAAACTTCAGAATGAGCACAACATGCACCATCACCGAGCGCTCAATCGATGACGTCTGAGTCTTAAATTCAATCAAAAATAGGGTATCTACACCATGGTTTACACGTTTCTTGATATTAGCACTTCGAACATGTATTTTACATTAACATTTCATTGAGGTGTTTTAACAAAGATCTAACATTCACAAAGTACTCAACCAAAAATCACCACAAACCCACAAATTGACAAATCAAATTTTTTTTTAAAAAAAAAAGAAAAAGAAAAAGAAAATGAAGAGGATAAACATTTAAAATATAAATTTTTATTTTGCCGGTCATCTTAAACTTTTAGATTGATTTCTTCAATTTTTTGATGAAAGCTCTCCAACGACATTTGAATCAATGAACACTATGTGAGAGGACTAGAATCTAAATAATGTTTCGTTATGAGAGAGCTCCGTTTGTTGTCATGGAGTTGATGTCCGAAACTGAGTTTGGTGAGATAATCAAGCTTCAACATTCAGTTTTATCTTCTTTTTTTAAAAAAATTTGTTTTCTTTTCGTGTGTATGATGATTTGAGAAATACAGAAAAAATACCAGAAAGACATACAAGGAAGAGAGAGAAAGAAAGAGTTAATCATCGGTGAGAGACAGTAACATACCAACGTTGATGTATCAATAACATAGTGCTAGTGTTGATGATAAGAAAGAAAGAAAAAAAAAATTTCAAAACAATATCGTTTTTAAGAGTGACAGAAAAATGCAACCGGACTCACAGTTATCCCCACATTTTGGCAGTGCATTGATCATGTGCGCACACACCGACGCTGGTGCTATACTCGGATCGGATCATAGTCAACAAGTCAACTCAACACCCCCACATGGCCTCCTCCAATCGAAATCGAAATCGAAATGGGCATAACTTAGCAAAATTCCAAAACGTAAAGCAAGAATAAGAAAAGATGTTCCCCTCTCTCTCTCTCTCTCTCTCTCTCTCTCTGAGCTAGAGGTTTGGTAAGACGGTTGTGGTGGAGAAGAAGAAATGGCTATCTCCAGAGTCACCACCACTTCCGACGCCGGAAATCCCCTCCTCGACGACGACCTCGTCGACGGCGCCGTCGACTACAAGAATTGTCCTGTCGTCCGATCCAAGTCAGGCTGTTGGAGATCCGCATCTTTCATCATCGGTAACAAACACATACTTACATACACACACAATCCAATGATTCACAATATCTATATACCTATATGCATATATGTGTGTGTTTTGATTGAAATTGAGATTTGGAATTTGGTAGGTGTGGAAGTAGCAGAGAGGTTTGCGTATTATGGTATAAGCTCCAATCTCATCACCTACCTGACTGGGCCTCTAGGCCAGTCAACGGCCACGGCGGCGGAGAACGTGAACGCTTGGTCCGGCGTGGCCTCTCTTTTGCCTCTTTTGGGAGCCTTCGTAGCCGATTCATTCCTCGGTCGATACCGAACCATTGTTGTTGCTTCCATAGTCTACATCCTGGTTAGTTATTATTATGATTCTGCTTTTTTACTTTCTCATTTTTTTTTTTTGTTTCCAAAACCAAAGAAATGAGAATTACAACTTACAAGTGTTTTCGTTAACTTATTCCAACAAAATCTTAGCTGTTTGTTTGGCGGATGAAAGAACAAGGGTAAATGGAATTCGCCATGCAGAATTAAAATTTGGAAACCATCTTTGCTCAATTTTCAAACAAAGATAGCCTCGCTTCCAGGGCGTCATACAGGCCCTCGTTCTAAACTTCAGCTTCAGCATTGATTAAATTTTTAAACAATTTTGACCTAACTGATGTGTTCTAGCCTTCTAGGTTTATTAGGCACTCGGGAATAGATTTTCAAGGTCCCATCAAGGCTATGTGGTTATGCCATTGGGATATAAGTGTGCAAAATATTTAAGTCGTTATCGGTACTGTTTTTAATCTGATTTACATGGGGTGGGGTTGAAGACCATCCCTATTTCGGAATTTTGTATCACACTCTTGCTTGATATCTCTGAAATAAAGGTAAATGAAGTATTGCAGAGATGTTGAGACACAGAACAGAAGAAAATATCACACAACTTTGTTTAATCATTGATATAGATTGGATTGTACATAGTTTTGCTTATATAGAGCTCGGGGAATTCTAGAAGATTACAAAAGCTATAGAAGGGAATTCTGTAGTTAGCTATGCCATGTCATGATCTAGCTTGTGCTTCCAGAGAGTAGCATGTGAGACTTCCATGTGCTGAGAAAGGAATTTGATCCAGTGAGGTCAATCTTATCTGGGCTCTTCTGCTCTCAACTATAATCAGAAATGCTTTTCATGCTATAGACAAATTGCTTTTTAGGATTATGAGTATGTTGTTTTTCTTGTATGGTGTGGCTGTGGAGGCACACAGCCTGCAATAATCAACCTAGAGTTCTGTCAGAGCTGTAAAACCGGTGCAATATATCTCATATAAGTCATACATATTTATATATTTAAAAGAAGGGGCATTTGATATACTGTTAAAAAAATCAGTTCATACCCATTGCAAGAGTTTCCTGCTTGCTCCACAACCATAGCCTTTTGTCTTTGCAGAAGCGCATGTGCAATGGACGTGAAGGGTTTTTTATGTTTTACTTTCGTTTTTTAAGTGGGTTTGAATGACCACATGTTTCATAACAACATATTTGTCATAACATAGATACATTTTTGTAATAAAGTTTTATTATATAAGCTGTAAGTAGCATTATAATTATTATTTATGGAACACTGTTGTGATGTTTTAGTATAGATCTCATTAAGTAGTTAAAACTATTCCTCGTTTGGTGTTGCTGTGGAAGAAAAACTTAATATTCCACTATATCAAATAAAGGATTACATTCACCCTTTTATAGATGATAATACTCATCTAATTTATAGGGATATTTACAACTTACCTAGAATGGAATCAAACTTATCTAAAACAGAAAGTAATAAAACAGGAAACTCTTATCTACAAATTTGATAACAGATTACTAGAATCCCCTAAAATCGTGGGATCAAATAATGATCTATTAGCTATAGATTTCCTCAATCTTAGCCACTAATAATGCTGACAGATCAACAAACTAATTAAATCTTTCAATAATTCTACACTCCCCCTCAAGCTGGACGGTAAATATTTATTAACCCCAGCTTGGAACTCAGATCATCAAACGTCTTTCTCGGTAGGGCTTTAGTAAGAATGTCAGCTGTTTGCAGACATGTGGGCACGTACATCATCTTGATTGTCCCTTCTTCTATCTTCTCCTTTATGAAATGTCGATCAATCTCCACGTGTTTTGTTCTATCATGTTGTACTGGGTTCTTGGCAATGCTGATTGCTGACTGATTATCACAAAACATTTTCATAGTTTCTTCATCTGAAATTTTTAATTCCTTTAGCAACCTTCGTAACCATATTCCCTCACAAATGCCATGTGCCATTGCCCTGAATTCAGCTTCTGCACTGCTCCTTGACACCACCGATTGCTTCTTACTTCGCCATGTAACAAGGTTACCCCACACATATGTGCAATACCCTGAAGTAGATCTTCGGTCTTGTACTGATCCTGCCCAATCTGCATCACTGAATACTTCAATATCTCTTCTTTGATTCTTCTCAAAAAATAATCCTTTACCTGGTGTTAGTTTCGGGTATCTTAGGATTCTATACACTGCCTCCATGTGTTCTTCATTTGGATTATTCATGAATTGACTTACCATGCTAACAGAAAAATCGATATCTGGTCGGGTGTGAGACAGGTATATAAGTTTACCAACTAGTCTTTGATATCTGCCTTTATCCACTGGTGCACAATTTTCCTTAGTTCCTAGTTTGGTTGTTGAATCCATAGGAGTATCAGCCGGCTTGCATCCGAGCATTCCAGTCTCTTTTAAGAGATCCAGGACATATTTTCTTTGGGAGACAGAGATTCCCTTTCTTGACCTTGCGATTTCCATGCCTAGGAAGTATTTGAGATTCCCAAGGTCCTTGATTTCAAATTCTGTAGCTAGAAGACTTTGGATAGTGCAGATTTCCTCCTCATAATCTCCTGTTAGAATTATGTCATCCACGTATACAATGAGGACAGCAAGTTTTCCTACAGGAGAGTGTTTAACAAATAGAGTATGATCCGTCTGACATTGAGAATAGCCATGGCTCTTAACTACCTTTGTGAATCTCTCAAATCAGGCTCTTGGAGATTGCTTGAGCCCATATAGAGATCTTCTAAGTTTACGAACTTTGTTGCATGTAGTTTGTGTCTCAAATCCTGGAGGAATTTCCATGTAAAATTTAGGAAGGCATTCTTGACGTCTAGTTGATGAAGAGGCCAATCAAGATTTGCAGCCAAAGATAGTAGAACCCGAACTGTGTTTAACTTGGCTACAGGGGCAAATGTCTCCTCATAGTCGATTCCATATGATTGGGTGAATCCCTTTGCAACCAGCCGTGCCTTGAATCGATTAATACTCCCATCTTCATTATATTTGACTGTGAATATCCATTTGCAGCCTACTGGACATTTCCCAGTTAGTAATTCTGAGATTTCCCAGGTTCCATTCTTTTCAAGCGCATGTATTTCTTCATACACGGCTGATTTCCACTCAGGTGAGCCAAGGGCTTCTTGTATGTTATTGGGAACCTGGATGTTGTCGAGGTTGGCAACAAATGATTTGAACTTTGGTGACAGTCCTTCATATGACACAAATGTGTATATAGGGTGTTTTGTGCATGATCTTACACCTTTTCTCACAGCAATAGGAATATCACTATCATCATTAGTTAACTCACTATGTGAAGTCTCGGGATTAGAGTTACCTGATGGATCTTCACTTGATCTAGGACTTGGATCAAATTCTTGGGCTTGCTCAGGATTGATTGAAGTTTTTGAAAATCTGACCTGCCTCTGATTTTTCTTTCATGAGGAAGACCCATGTAAGTCTAGTGTGATCATCAATAAAGGAAATAAACCAGCTAGAACCAGTAACATTCTTGATTCTAGATGGACCCCATACATCACTGTGAATCATTGAAAAGGGTTGGGATGCTTTGTAGGATTGATTGGGATAAGAGTTACGAACATGTTTAGAAAATTGACAAATCTCACACTGAAACTCATTTGGATTTTTATTATGGAATAGTGAAGGAAACAACTTCTCAAGATACAAGAAATTTGGATGACCTAACCTATAGTGCCACAACATAATTGCACTATCATGATTAGAACGACTAACAGAAAAAGAACTAGGACTATTGGACACTGAACAATAGTGACCGGAGAGTAGCACTTATATCCCTTTTGAGTTGGAGAGTACCCAAGAAAAATACACTTAAGGGCTCTAGGATCAAGTTTATCCCTGTGTTGTTGATGGACATGAACAAAAGTTGAGCACCCAAAAACTTTGAAGGGGATAGTGGAGATGAGACGGGTATTGGGAAGGGACTGAAGTAGGATTTGACAGGGAGTTTGAAAGTTGAGTATACGAGATGCCATCCTGTTTATGAGATATGCCGCAGTGAGGATGGCTTCACCCCAGAAAAATTTTGGTACATGGGTAGAGAACATAAGGGAGCGTGCAACATCTAGAAGATGCCTGTTTTTTCTTTCGGCAATTCCATTTTGTTGAGGAGTGTTCACACAGGAACTTTGGTGAACTATACCGTGACTCAAGAGATAATCATTAAGGATGGATTTGAAATATTCTTTGGCATTGTCAGTTTTCAAAATCTGGATTTTTGCTTGGAATTGTGTTTGGATCATGGTGTTGAATTTTTTGAAAATCTGACCTGCCTCTGATTTTTCTTTCATGAGGAAGACCCATGTAAGTCTAGTGTGATCATCAATAAAGGAAATAAACCAGCTAGAACCAGTAACATTCTTGATTCTAGATGAACCCCATACATCACTGTGAATCATTGAAAAGGGTTGGGATGCTTTGTAGGATTGATTGGGATAAGAGTTACGAACATGTTTAGAAAATTGACAAATCTCACACTGAAACTCATTTGGATTTTTATTATGGAATAGTGAAGGAAACAACTTCTCAAGATACAAGAAATTTGGATGACCTAACCTATAGTGCCACAACATAATTGCACTATCATGATTAGAACGACTAACAGAAAAAGAACTAGGACTATTGGACACTGAACAATTAGATTGGTGAGTTGCTCCTTGAAAAGGATCATTAACCTCGAGAAGATAAAGCCCCGAACACATCTTAGCACTGCCAATCATCTTTCCCGAGTCCAAGACCTGAAATTCACACAAATTTGAGCCAAATTTAGTAACACAATTGAGATCCCGAGTGAGTTTACTAATGGACAGTAAATTGCAATTTAAATTTGGCACAAGAAGAACTGAGGCAAGTGTGATGTTTTCTGAAACTCTAACAGAACCTGTACCAGCAACCTTTGAGAGTGAACCATCGACTATCCTGACAGTTAAATTTTTAGAACATGGACTATAAGTAGAAAAAATCTTCTCATCTTCAGTCATATGACCTGATGCTCCTGAGTCTATAATCCATGGACTTAGCTTCTCCTTTTTAACATTGAGAGCACTTAAGAAATTACCTTTGTGTGCCAAGGAACCGATACCAACCACAGTGGGGGCAGTGGCAGGCAATGATTGGCTGAACAGTTTCTGTAATACTTCTAGTTGTTCCTTGCTGAAGGGAATGGGTTCGATTGATGGTTTTTCATCCACCGCGACGAGATTGCCCCGTCCTTCTTTGTCATTGGCAAACCAGGAAGGCTTCCAATCTGTAGGTTTACCATGGATTTTCCAGCAGGTGTCCTTGGTGTGACCAGAACGTCGACAATGATCACACCATGGCCGTCCTTTCTTTGGTCTGTTGTCATTGTTGTTGTATGGATTTCCTCTAACTACAAGGGCTAAGCTCTCAGGATTTGTCACAGATTCTTGAGAGCCCATCATGATCTTCTTTCGACTCTCCTCTCTGCGAACTTCTGAAAATGCTTCCTGGATATTCAGCAGTGGTTTGGATCCTAAGATTCTCCCTCGGACTTCATCGAGATTCTTATTTAATCCAATCAGAAATTTGTATATTCTTTTCCGTTCAATAATCTGTCTATACCTGATTCCATCGTCAGGACAGCTCCAATTGTGCTCCTCGAACAAGTCCAGCTGTTGCCAGTAGCGGTTGAGTGTGTTGAAGTACTGAGTCACCATTAAATCTCCTTGGCGGAAGTCATGGAGAACACTTTCCACCTCGAACAATTCAGATGTATTCTCATTGTTAGAATACGTTTCCTTAGCAGCTTCCCAAATCTCCTTTGCTGTTCCGTAGAGAAGAAAATTTTCTCCAATGTCATTTGTCATGGAATTAATGAGCCATGACATGACCATGTTATTTTCAGAATTCCAGATATTGAACTTCTCATCATCCTTGTTTGGTTTGGCAACAACTCCATTGAGATAATCGTCTTTTCCCTTTCCGCATATGAACATCATTACGGAATGGGACCATTGGAGATAGTTGTTCCCATTCAGTTTGTGTCCTGTAATGGGCATGAGGTTACTATCTGCACTACTGTTGCTGGAAGCCATGGCTTCTTGATTGGAGGTGATTTGGGAAACGGAAGAGTCACTTCTGCCGTATTTGGTCATATGAGGAAATTAGGGTTCAGAGAATGCTCAGATACCATGTTGCTGTGGAAGAAAAACTTAATATTCCACTGTATCAAATAAAGGATTACATTCACCCTTTTATAGATGATAATACTCATCTAATTTATAGGGATATTTACAACTTACCTAGAATGGAATCAAACTTATCTAAAACAGAAAGCAATAAAACAGGAAACTCTTATTTACAAATTTGATAACAGACTACTAGAATCCCCTAAAATCGTGGGACCAAATAATGATCTATTAGCTATAGATTTCCTCAATCTTAGCCACTAATAATGCTGACAGATCATCAAACTAATTAAATCTTCCAATAATTCTACATTTGGCAACATCACCTTTTAGTCCAAAAGTCAAAAAATCACTAAAAAATTAAAAAGCCAACAACCTATACCAAAAAGTCAAGGATTTCCTTCTCTCTACTTTGTGCACATCTTTTCGTAAAAAATTAAAAAATCATCCCAAACATACTAGTTTTTTATGAGCTGTGTTTGAGACCCCTAGTTTCCAACCACTCCCACACACACGTGGGGGTGGGTCATTGGATCAAAAAAAAAAAAAAACAAACCAATCACACCCCACTGGGGGCCCTGTGGGTCACCCCCAGTGGGGGTCCGAGGCATTAACCTTTTTTTATATCATATTTTAGCTAAAAAGTCAAAAAAATTACTAAAAAAACTTATTTCCAAACAAGACCTAACTGTGTATTACATAGGTGATACATGTTTTAATATAGACCACTCATTTACTTGAAACATAATCAAATCAAATTGAGAATATATATATATATATATATATCAACCTCATTAATTCAAGAAAGTCTCAAGGAAATGACTAATTTTCCTCACCACCCAACTTCATAAAATGCTTCAAAACTTTCTTTTCAATAGGTGAATTGACTCTTCAATACCGGAGCAATAATAAAACCAAACCAATTAGAGTTTGATTGTGAACGGGTATGTCGATTGTGAAGAGGTATATTTGATGGGAATAGCCACTTGCAAAGACAGTGATTACTTCTTGATGGAATGAATGTGTCGTGAATTGCAATTAATAGAGTAACATTCATATCAAAAACCCAATCATGTTTTCTCTTTCAAGATAATAGAGTGACGCTGCGTAGATAAAATCAAAAACATAACGGGGAACATGTATTATCTTCTCTATCATACCATTGATGCGAGGAATACCACCTATAAGAACACCAAATCCAAAACATTAAATAAAATAAAAAAAGAAGAAAAATTCAAGAACACAAGAGAGAGAAAGTAACTTGATGAACAAATTTCATAATAGAAACTTTTAATAATGGAAACACACACTAATTCCTTGTTTTAGAATATTGTATACCATAACCTCTTAAAACAATTGTAGATGTTTGATCTCATGGTTTTCCCGCAAACAAAAAAACATAACTACAATTAATGCTGGTATGCACTGCTTGATGAATTAGTTATTTTTGCTCTTGAATTAGTGTGGAGCTATGGTGTAAAGGTGTTAAATGACTTGCACAAGCAACTAAAAACTGGAGAGAATGAGTTCTACTTCTTCATGGACATATGAGAAAAAACAACAATAGAAAGAATAGTTAAGTCGATGAGGGGTTTTTCCTAAACATCAAAGTGCTTCCTTCAGTAATGCAGGGTAAGTGGCTTGTGGGCAGTGTTGCCAGCTCATGGGCCCACTTTGAATTGTCGTAGATGTAAAGATGGCTCAGAACCACCGAAGGGTGGAAAGGGAGAGCATGTGTTGCTTGCTTGTGGTCCCAAATCACCTCCATGTGGAGGTCTCGCTCTTTTAGAGTGGAGCCACCTCGAAAGGGTGAATGAAGCAACTTTGATGATACCCACAACTCTTGCTGCTAATCCTAGTCCCTAGTGATTCTGCACAAGGGTCATTGAGTTTCTTGGGCACCCCATGTCACGGTGCTACCCCCTGCTCTTGACCTAGATATAGACTTGATAGCATCGGTGCTGTTGTGGCTTGTAGGTGCCTTAATTGGCGAGCATCTCTCATGGGAGCAATTGAAACCAGTTTATCCCATGGTCCAGTATATTTTGATATATATCCTAACCTCAGTATCGCTCTTTTTGACCAAAATTTATCTAAAGTTTTAGAATTCAGAATTCTGACTAATGGGTACGAATACATGGCAGGATCCCCTCCTTTTTCTGTCATCTCCAGAATTTATCTTAAAGTATTAACTACTTTAAATCCATATGTTAGAAAAAAAGGAATTGATGGTGAAACTGTCTTAATCGACACTAATCTTTACAGTAGTCAGGTTGCAGCCCCTAAACTGTTAGAATGGGATAAAATTACTTTCCCTGAACAGTGGAAAATTACTAATGCTGTCCTTCCTCGACCACTCATACGTCATAACTTGGATGACATTATTCAGACTCGACAAGGAGATGTTTATCTCCAATTTCAAAAACCCCCCATTAAATTACATAGAAGTATGTCTAGTACTAGTTTTCGTACTGCTCCTAGTCATCAACCTTACCGAGTAGATTATCCAGAATCTTCAAGACAATCCTTTGCTGAACCACCAGATGCCCTATTTCAAGGCAATCCTTCTAGATCTCATTCTAGACCTACTTCTGATGAACCAAACGAACCAGATCCAGACCCTATAGTTAGAGGTGTTCAATATTCTGAGCAACGTATTCCTCATGGGATCTATGAATTACCCACACATCCAGCCAAACGTGACTCTAGACGAGGATCTTTGAGTCCTACAGCTAGTGATATGGATTTTAGAATTTAATGGATTTTACACCTGGTAGTATAAATCGTAAATTCTTAAATCAAGAATTTTTTCAGGAAAAATATTCTGACTTTCGGAAATGGTATTTTGCTACTCATACTCCATCACAATTAGAAGAATATAAATTACAGTATTATTTATATCTGGAAGAAATTCAGGTTTTATACCCTTTCTCTTTGTGGTATTTATCCAATATTCAACCTCCAAAAGATTCCGTTCAAGTTCTTGAAGCAATCCAGCAAAAATGGACCACTACTGATGGCCGCACCATACTTTCTATCCATCCTCCAACCCAACCATTAGAACTTCAACCCACAAGCACGACGACCGCCAATGGTAAACCAATGGTAATCGCCGCCTTTACTGAACTACCACACCGCGCACAAAATAATAACCCTGTACTAATTCAGGACTTGAGTACCGTATTTAAACAAAATAATTATACTAATCTATTTTGCCAAACGGCAGGTAAGCAGCTTAGTCGAATTGAAGAAATGGTATCACATGTTAAGAAAAGCTGCAAATTGGAACCCAAACCTCCTATTACCGATCCAGTTTTTATCAAACCAACTCCAGTTTTAAAAGATTTTAATTTAAAACCCAAAGCCGACACTGATTTTATGGAAACCATTCTGTCCCAAATTCGTGATCTTAAAATCTCTGATTCCTCCTCTTCTTCTCGCTCCAAAGCCCAAGTTTTGATGCTTTCGAGCAATGCTCTTAATCATCCTCCTGACGATCCTTATCAACATCTAAGTCTTCCTCAATTCTGAATATTGAGGATAATTTTAAATCTCCTGAACCATCCTCTGTTCATCGTGTTTATTCCTCTAATATCCAGAAAATGGTCCCTGTTGGTAGTACTCGTCACTATTATCCTCGACCAACACCCATGGATATTCTGTATGAAGAGGACTTCCTCCAAACCCAACGCCATTACACCAGCACTGCCATCTATGAATGGAATATTGACGGCCTTTCCGAATATCAACTATACGAACTCCTTCATCATATGTTGATGTTTGCTACTGTCTGCAAACAAAACCATAATACTGATCACCAGGTTGCCCGCATGCTTGTTAGTGGTTTTACTGGTTCGCTGAAAGGATGGTGGGATAATTATCTCACTCATAACCAATGTGCTGAGATCCTTTCTGCTACAAAAACAACTACCACTATTCCTGACAGAACTCCTGAAAATCCAAATCCTGATCCTATTGATACCGAAGAAGAAGATGCTGTTTATACTCTTATAAATACCATTGTTGCTAATTTTGTTGGTAACACTGTTGGTATTGCAGATCGAAATAGAGAATTATTAATGAAATTGAGATGTCCTACTTTATCTCATTTTCGTTGGTATAAGGATGTTTTTCTGATGAAAGTTATGCAGAGGACAGATGGAAGTGATGAACATTGGAAAGCCAAGTTTATTGATGGACTTCCTCATCTATTTGCTGAACGTGTCCGTAAGCGACTTCGTGATATCCATCGCACGGTGGATATTCCATATTATCAATATACATACGGTCAGTTAATTAATATTGTCACTAACGAAGGTCTTGCTTTATGTAACGACCTTAAACTCCAGCAACAACTCAAACAACAACATTTAATTGGCAAAAGAGAGGTAGGTGATTTTTGTGAACAATTTGCCTATGACCCTCAGATCCAATATCCCTACAAACTTCATAAGCAAAGGAAACATAAAAGTCATTCCAAACCCTATAAAAAATCCAGAAAATTTTCCAAATATTCTAAAACTCAACCCCAACCTCAGACATCTAGGCCTAAACACAAAACTAAGGGCAAATCTTTTCAGAAGAATAAATCCAGTATTAAGTGTTACAAATGTGGACAAACAGGTCATTATGCTAACAGATGTAGAGCCAAGATCCAGACAAAATTAAATGAGTTAGCTTTAGATGAAGAAACACAACAAAAAATTTTACAGTTAATTTCTGATTCAGAATCCTTTTCAGATACTCCTTCCGATAATGAATTAGCAGCCATTTATTCCTCTTCTTCTGAAACTGACAACGATTGTCCAGATACTGGAGTTTGTCCCTGTAAAACTTCTGTTAATCAAGTCAATGATGAAGCTAATTACTGGAAGTCAATAGTAGAAATGAATGGTCTAAATATTGATAGTCCTAGTATTAATGTTTTGACTGATGCTGAACAAAATCTTTTGACTATTGCTGACAGTATTAAAGATCCAGAAATTAAGCTAAAATTTCTTGAAATGTGTTACAAACAAAAAACCGAAGAAATTAATGTGCCAAAAATGTATAACATGAAGGAAGTTTTCTCCCGTCTTCAAAATCCATCACCCTCCAAAATGGATAAATCTGTTTCTGTTCAAGATTTGAAAATGGAAGTTAATGCATTAAAACTTGAAATAAAACATTTGCAGACTTCTAATTTAGCTATCAATTCTGAAATCAGAAAGATCAATAAAAAATTACAGGATAAAGGAGAAGAACAAAGTCATCCAGAATATTTGCTATCTCTAAATAGAATAACCTTTCAGAAGTGGTATATTCGTATTACATTTATGATTCAACCCGATTTTATTATGCGCGATGCAATTGCTTTGGTTGATAGTGGTGCTGATATGAATTGTATACAGGAAGGATTAGTTCCTACTAAATATTTCCAGAAAACAAGTCAATCTCTGACCAGTGCCAGTGGTAATAGTTTATATATTGATTATAAACTTCCTGAAGTTCTGATTTGTAATCAAGGATTATGTTTGCCAACTTCTTTTGTCCTCATTAAAAATATGGCACAAAATATAATCCTCGGTACACCTTTTTTGAATCTCTTAATGCCTATCACTAAGATAGACACTATTGGAATTCATACAGAAATTGATAATCAAATAATTATTTTTGAATTTATTACTTCTCCATACACAAAAGAATTAGATCAGATTTCCGATTTAATGTCTTTAAAACAAAATCAAATTAATTTTTTGCAAAAAGAAATTAGCTTTCTGACAACAGAACAACGAATCCAGCAAACTGCTTTTCAACAAAAAATTAAATTGCTTGAAAAAGAATTTCAGAATGAAATTTGTAGCGATGTGCCTAATGCTTTTTGGGATCGCAAAAAACATTTGGTAGCGCTTCCTTATGAGCCTACTTTTGACGAAAAGAAAATACCTACAAAGGCTCGTCCCAGTCAAATGAAAAAAGAGTATATGGAACTTTGCAAAACTGAAATTAATACTCTTCTCCAGAAAAAACTAATCAGACCAAGTCGATCTCCTTGGAGCTGTACTGCTTTTTATGTAAATAAAAATGCTGAAATAGAACGTGGAACTCCTAGGTTAGTGATTAACTACAAACCTTTGAATGAAGTATTACAATGGATCAGGTATCCAGTCCCTAATAAAAAAGATCTTTTAGATCGCTTACAGGATGCCGTTATATTTTCTAAATTTGACATGAAATCAGGATATTGGCAGGTTCAGATTACTGAAAATGATCGTTATAAAACTGCATTCACAGTACCTTTTGGACATTTCGAATGGAATGTTATGCCTTTTGGATTAAAAAATGCGCCATCTGAATTCCAGCATATTATGAATGACATTTTTAATCCCTATTCTGAATTTTCCATATGCTATATCGATGATGTCCTTATCTTTTCTTCCTCTATTGATCAGCATATGAAACATCTTAATATTTTTAAACATGTTATTTCCAGAAATGGTCTTGTTGTTTCTGCTCCAAAAATGAAACTTTTTCAAACCCAAGTTCGATTCTTAGGACATAATATCCATAATGGAACTATTATTCCTATTGATCGAAGTATGGAGTTTGCATCTAAATTTCCCGATGAAATTAAAGATAAGACCCAATTGCAACGATTTTTAGGAAGTCTCAATTGTATTCATGACTATTATCCTAATCTTGCTACTGATGCTGCTATACTTTATACCCGTTTACGAAAAAATCCACCTGTTTGGAGTCCAGAACATACCACTGCTGTCAAAAAGATTAAAGCTCGTGTAAAGACTTTACCCTGCTTATGTCTTCCCTCTCCAGAATATCAAAAAATTGTTGAAACAGATGCTTCTGATCTCGGTTTTGGTGGTATACTAAAACAATTTAATCCTAAAACTAGTAAAGAAGAACTCTTACGTTTTCATTCTGGTGTTTGGCATGATGCTGCTAAAAGATATCCTACTATTAAAAAAGAATGTTTAGCTATTGTTAAATGTGTCTTAAAATTCCAGGATGATTTATTAAATCAAGAATTTTTAATCCGCGTAGATTGCTCTGCTGCCAAACAAGTTTTCAAAAAAGATGTTGAAAATTTGGCTCAAAAACAAATTTTTGCTTCTTGGCAAGCTGCTCTTTCTGCTTTTGATTATAATATTGAATATATCAAAGGAGAACATAATTCTCTCCCTGATTTTCTGACTCGTGAATATCTACAGACTTCTCATGCAAAACCGGGGTAGAGGTCCTGGCCGGCGAGGCCGTGGACGTGGTTTTCCACCACCACCTACCGACTTTCCTTCCCTTTTGGGGATTTACAGTCACAAAGGAGAATCTTCTAGCCCTTCGGTTAAAGATGTCCTCCTAACTCTAGAAACTTATTTCCAGAATTCCATTACAGAAGAAACTGTTCTTTATATTGATACTGCTGACATTCAATGGGTTTCTGATCCATGGGAGGTGAAAAAACGCTATCTTGCCACCCAAAATAGTCCTCCGCATTTGGATACTTACAGATATGTCTATGAACAAATACTGACTGAGTTAGCCTCTGTCCAATTCCAGCATCATTATGCCGATTCTAATCGTACTGCCAGTCCCATTAATTACAGTAAAGCTACCATTCAGTCTATCATGCCCATCCAGGCTTGGGGTATTCATCCTCATGTTACCCGTAGTCTTGATATCCGGTCTAAGGACGTCCGTTACAGTTATTGGGATTATATTACTGCTTTTACCCAGACTTTTTATTATATGAACCCTCCTCGTTCTCACTCCTGGTTTTTTCGGGTTCTTCCTGATGTCCTCAAAAATGATCTCCCCTCCTGGTTTCTCATTTGGTGGGATACTTTTGGATTACAGCTAGATGCTTTTCCAGAATATGTTCGCTTGGCCTTTAATGAATGGCAAACTGTTTTCAGTATTCTTCCAGTTAACAAAAATATTTCCATGTCCAAATGTTTAATCAATTTCGTCATCCGCTTCAGTATTCCCTGGATATGGAAATGGGATTTCCAGTGTGATTTCCAGAATAAAGTCCCCCGTTTAAAAAGAGTTTTCTTTTATAAATGGTGGAAACAGATGGATGATGCCAAAAATAAGCAAGACTTACTCCAGCGCATCAAGGAACATACACATGGATTCAAGGAATTGCTGCTTCATGAAATCCATGCTTTTGGAAACAAGTTCTTCGTCTGTGATATCTGGATATTTGTTTCGGAGCTCTTGCTGGATCTGAATAAAAGGATTAATGGATGTGGCTGGAGTAGTTTTGGGACATGCATCAAGACAGTCCTGTGTATGTTCCTTGATGCGCTGGAGTAAGTCTTGCTTATTTTTGGCATCATCCATCTGTTTCCACCATTTATAAAAGAAAACTCTTTTTAAACGGGGGACTTTATTCTGGAAATCACACTGGAAATCCCATTTCCATATCCAGGAAATACTGAAGCGGATGACGAAATTGATTAAACATTTGGACATGGAAATATTTTTGTTAACTGGAAGAATACTGAAAACAGTTTGCCATTCATTAAAGGCCAAGCGAACATATTCTGGAAAAGCATCTGGAAATCTAGGGAATAGAATCCCCAGAAAACTTTCCCCATGCCGTTGGACAGTATAGTAGCTGGACACATTATACATGCACTAGGTAATGAAACTCTTGGAAAAGAAAACTGTGTTATTTTCAATAACTTACGTTTTTAAATCTCCGATAGAAACCTGATTTGTGACTGTTCATTTTATGAAGGCTTGTCAATTCAATTTTAGCTGGCAAAGAGTTGGGATGCAATAGGAAGCTTTCATGTCAAGAACAATTTTGGTTGCAGAAAGCATATCAATTTTTCCCCTCATAATAAGGGGACTTCATGACACACTCGTCATCTGATGAAGGCCCAGAGCATAACAACTGGATTAGAGAGAGGAAAAGGTGGAAATCCAGATACATGTACCTACAACTTTCTATACTTACCAAGAGACGCATAGTAAAATGCACGGTTACTATAATGTGGATGGTGTAGCTGTTGGGCTTTAACAGCTTTCACCTAGAATGTCATGTCAAACTACACCCAGCAGTTGCATAAGTAATATGTCTGTAGCATTTGATATTTGAAGCAGCATTCAGTTGATTTTCCCCTTAACAGCTTTTAAATTTCCATTCTACTTGCAAACTAGCATTTTTTTTTTCCTTTTCCAAATCATTATTGCTAAGCTAGTAGATTTTACTAACAGTAGTTGAATTCAGGGTTCTTTGGCAGTTTCATTAACTTGGCTATGTGCTCCGCATCTCGCCTTTGTCTCTGCACCTTGCCTGCTTGTCCATGCAAGCCACAACAGCACCGATGCTATCAAGTCTATATCTAGGTCAAGAGCAGGGGGTAGCACCGTGACATGGGGTGCCCAAGAAACTCAATGACCCTTGTGCAGAATCACTAGGGACTAGGATTAGCAGCAAGAGTTGTGGGTATCATCAAAGTTGCTTCATTCACCCTTTCGAGGTGGCTCCACTCTAAAAGAGCGAGACCTCCACATGGAGGTGATTTGGGACCACAAGCAAGCAACACATGCTCTCCCTTTCCACCCTTCGGTGGTTCTGAGCCATCTTTACATCTACGACAATTCAAAGTGGGCCCATGAGCTGGCAACACTGCCCACAAGCCACTTACCCTGCATTACTGAAGGAAGCACTTTGATGTTTAGGAAAAACCCCTCATCGACTTAACTATTCTTTCTATTGTTGTTTTTTCTCATATGTCCATGAAGAAGTAGAACTCATTCTCTCCAGTTTTTAGTTGCTTGTGCAAGTCATTTAACACCTTTACACCATAGCTCCACACTAATTCAAGAGCAAAAATAACTAATTCATCAAGCAGTGCATACCAGCATTAATTGTAGTTATGTTTTTTTGTTTGCGGGAAAACCATGAGATCAAACATCTACAATTGTTTTAAGAGGTTATGGTATACAATATTCTAAAACAAGGAATTAGTGTGTGTTTCCATTATTAAAAGTTTCTATTATGAAATTTGTTCATCAAGTTACTTTCTCTCTCTTGTGTTCTTGAATTTTTCTTCTTTTTTTATTTTATTTAATGTTTTGGATTTGGTGTTCTTATAGGTGGTATTCCTCGCATCAATGGTATGATAGAGAAGATAATACATGTTCCCCGTTATGTTTTTGATTTTATCTACGCAGCGTCACTCTATTATCTTGAAAGAGAAAACATGATTGGGTTTTTGATATGAATGTTACTCTATTAATTGCAATTCACGACACATTCATTCCATCAAGAAGTAATCACTGTCTTTGCAAGTGGCTATTCCCATCAAATATACCTCTTCACAATCGACATACCCGTTCACAATCAAACTCTAATTGGTTTGGTTTTATTATTGCTCCGGTATTGAAGAGTCAATTCACCTATTGAAAAGAAAGTTTTGAAGCATTTTATGAAGTTGGGTGGTGAGGAAAATTAGTCATTTCCTTGAGACTTTCTTGAATTAATGAGGTTGATATATATATATATATATATATTCTCAATTTGATTTGATTATGTTTCAAGTAAATGAGTGGTCTATTAATGGGGGGTTTTTGAAATTGGAGATAAACATCTCCTTGTCGAGTCTGAATAATGTCATCCAAGTTATGACGTATGAGTGGTCGAGGAGGGACAGCATTAGTAATTTTCCACTGTTCAGGGAAAGTAATTTTATCCCATTCTAACAGTTTAGGGGCTGCAACCTGACTACTGTAAAGATTAGTGTCGATTAAGACAGTTTCACCATCAATTCCTTTTTTTCTAACATATGGATTTAAAGTAGTTAATACTTTAAGATAAATTCTGGAGATGACAGAAAAAGGAGGGGATCCTGACATGTATTCGTACCCATTAGTCAGAATTCTGAATTCTAAAACTTTAGATAAATTTTGGTCAGAAAGAGCGATACTGAGGTTAGGATATATATCAAAATATACTGGACCATGGGACAAACTTGTTTCCATTGCTCCCATGAGAGATGCTCGCCAATTAAGGCACCTACCATCTCTAAGTGTGCATTGCATACTGGTGTTTTGACCAAGGAGGGTCAAAGGTTTTAAAGCAATCTGGACAAGTCCTATATGAACATATTTATAATCTTTGAAAAACGGAATTAAATCCTGGATATTTAGTAAATACATAATGGTGTCATTATTTTCTACTGGAGCAGCATGTTCAAAAGTTTTTATTAATGTTTTACTGAAAAAAGTTTTAATTCTATGCTTATAAATAGTGTTTGGATCCACTTTAGGAATTGTCCATTTATCTAAGGCATCTTTAACATCCTGGTATGCAACTAGTTCTCTGGCTTCTGATGTAGAAGCCCCCATATTTGTGACAGCAGTATTGACTTCTGAATTTTCATTACTCATTGGTTTGTAGGTGACCATATATGGATAATTAAATGAAAATAAAACAGATTATTTCATAGATTAAACTTGGCTCTGATACCAATAAGAGTGCTCGACTTAGGGTCAACAACTTAGCACGTCTGTCAACGACTTATGCCAACCCATCCTAATAGCTAACCGCTTATGGATAAACAAGGCTACGCGACTTGGGTGACGTCCCACTAAGCTGTCAAATTTAAGCTAACCCTTACAAAGCACAGAACCAGGAATAATACACGAAATAATCTTATTTTATTTACTTTTAATTACATCATATATGGTCCATTTATAACTTACTCTGAAGAAGGAGGGCGATTAGCCCTAGCTCCGGCAATTATGGCTTCCTGTATCTGAATTTCAGTTTGGACTATTAACCTATTAATTTCTATTAATTCTTGTTTTGCCCATGGGTCATTAGGCCAAAGTGCAAGATAGGTATTTATGAAATTATTTTTTCTTTCTTTATGAAGTTCTAAAATATCATGCAAAAGAACAAGATCATATACAGACATACATAAAGAAATAAGAGAGACTTACTTAAACCAGCAGTACTATTATTAATACGCTTCAAGCTGAAAAGTAAGAGAGAGGGAGAGAGTACAGATGTTAAACGAAGAAAATAAAATTGGTGCCTCTTACAACCCAAGGGCTACCTATTTATAATACAAATGGAAAAGATAACAAGGACAGGTGGCGTGTGCTGAATGGTTTGCAGTCGATCATCCTTATCCTCTTATCCCTATTTTGTCGGCAAAGAATCTACTTTAATAAAAGTAGATAAAGTGGCTCCATTATGCACCGAAAGTTGTTTGGCCACAGATTTTTTTTTAGTTGTCTTGGAATTTTTCTGTTCAATGAAGGGGCCTTTAAATTTTAGACCTCATATATTTGCCCTATAACGTGTGAATGTCGGGGCTGGGGGTCACTTTATGGAGAAGACCAGGTCAGATCAAACTTAACACCATTTAACTGCTCATTTCACCTGCAATACTAGGGGTGAAACAGTTGGGAGATAAGGTAAAGGATATATAACATCATGAGTTGGACCATAGGTTCTGAAGAGGTTCTACTAATGTTTCATACTTGGTTTGATTCTGTGTTTATACCACCGCACCAACTTAAAGTAAATTTAATCTATAAATTAGACATCTAAATGAGTAAACATGGTCTCTAAAGCTCTAAAACTACTGATACAACAATTGTGAACTCAGCTTCTTTGATTACTTGAAAGTTCTGGCTTGATTTATATGAATAGCTACTAGACTGTTTTTCAGCATAGTGATCCAGAGTGTATACTTATCTCAGGTGCTAATTATGTTTGATTGGAATGAATCATAGGGACTTGGACTGTTGACCCTATCAGCCGTGCTTCCGCCTTTTAGCTCTGACTGCCAAAGTGCCACCAGTGTCAGTATGTGTTCTCCTCCTCAGCTTCAAGTCATCTTCTTCTTCTTCTCCTTATATCTAGTGGCATTTGCACAAGGAGGGCACAAGCCTTGTGTTCAAGCTTTCGGAGCTGACCAGTTTGATGCACAAGATCCGCAAGAGTACAAAGCCAAAAGCTCATTCTTCAACTGGTGGTACTTTTCTATATGTTTTGGTACTATGATAACACTCTTGATTTTAACCTACATCCAAGACAACCTTAATTGGGGTCTTGGTTTTGGGATCCCCTGTATTGTCATGGCCTTTGCACTGGTCATATTTCTGCTTGGAAGTACAACTTACCGGTTTAGCATTAGAAGTGATGAAAAAAGCCCAATTGTAAGGATTAGTAGAGTGTTTGTCAAAGCAGCTAGGAATTGGCGAACCACCCCTTCAGCAATTGCTATTGAAGAGGAAGCTCAGGGAATCCTTCCTCACCAGGGTTCTAACCAATTCAAGTAAGAGAATAAACTTTCTGCCTACAATGAAATATGTAAAAATAAACTCCCCTTGTTTTGTTCTTGTTCATTAAATGATTTTAAATAATGGGATCAGTCAATAATTGCTGAAACAGTTTTTAAATCTTAAATTATTGAATATTTTGAGGGCTTCATTACAGGTTTCTTAACAAGGCCTTGCTTGCACCAGATGGTTCAAAGGAAGATGGAAAAGTTTGTAGTATCAATGAGGTTGAAGAGGCAAAGGCAGTTCTGAGGTTGGTTCCAATTTGGACTACCTGTTTGTTATATGCCGTTGTATTTGCACAGTCCTCTACTCTTTTCACAAAGCAAGGAGTTACAATGAACAGATCGATAGGTCCAAACTTTGATGTACCAGCTGCTTCACTTCAATCTTTTATAAGCCTTTCCATTGTTATCTTCATTCCCATCTATGACCGCATTTTTGTTCCAATTGCTAGAGCTATAACATGTAAACCCACGGGCATAACAATGCTTCAAAGAATCGGAACTGGAATACTCTTTTCGGTTATTTCCATGATTATTGCAGCTCTAGTTGAGAAAAAGAGACTCCAAACTGCTATTGAGTATGGACTCGTTGATGAGCCAAAGGCAACAGTTCCAATGAGTGTCTGGTGGTTGGTGCCTCAATATGTATTGTTTGGGATTGGCGATGTGTTCACCATGGTTGGACTGCAAGAGTTTTTCTATGATCAGGTGTCTAGTGAATTGAAGAGTGTTGGTCTTGCTCTGTACCTCAGTATTTTTGGGGTTGGGAGCTTTTTAAGCAGCTTCCTCATCTCGGTTGTGGAGAATATTACAGGGAAAGATGGCCAAGACAGTTGGTTCTCGGATAACTTGAATCGGGCACATCTTGATTACTTCTATTGGGTACTTGCTGGACTTAGTGCAGTGGCATTGGTGGCCTATTTGTACTTCGCAAAATCTTACATTTATAATCGAGGAACCACTATCTGAAATTGGTCAATGACATCCAATTGTCTCAACTAAGATAATTACTTATGAACAGGAAGTGGAGTTTGTCTTGAGTTTTATTTTGTTTTGTTGCGCTATGTTTGGTTGGGGGATTCGAGAAAGAATTTGAGAAGGAATTTGAAAAAAGACAAAAAAATATGTGAAATTAAGTGAAATATAAGTATATTTTATTTACATTTCAAATATTTTTTTATTTTTCTTTTCAAATTTTCTAACCAAACACAACCTTAGTGTCCTAAGAAAATTGTTGAATTCGGAGTTGTTTGGTTCTTTTTATTTTTATGAAATGATATACAAAAAAATAAATAAGTGATAAATAAGTGTATCTATTTAGGGAATGGCAAACAAATTCTTACTTTGATGTCAATGTATATAAGTTTTTTTGTGCATTTTTTCTACTGAATTTATAGCCTTTCTGTGTCGTTGGCATGTGTCATCCTAGAAGATCTATACACCAAAACGTGCAATTTGAAATTGCTGTTGGGAGTCTATGGATGAGATTGGACAGAGATTAGCGGAACAGTTTTGGGTGGTTGTTTTTGTTTTTTATTTTTTTTCCTTTCTGGTCCAAATAATATTTAGAGAAAATTTTATGGTTGTTGTGGATATTTATGGAATTAAAATTGCATGCCAAAGTTTCGAATTTAATGTTTTGCGTGCTTGATCTATACTGACTGATTTATTATGATTGGGTGTTTTATCATGATTTTTAGTTTATCTAAAAAATCTTCACGCAATGGACTTTGTAACTAGCATGTATTTTACGCAAATTATACTGACATCTTTAAATATTTTTTGACAGTTATGACGAGCCCTCTTAATTTGATGAAATTACACTACCTATAATGAGGAAAGGATAATTTTAGAAATATCAATTTTTTTATTAAATAAATAACCAAATATTATATATGGGTGTGATTTTATTGTGAGACATTTGATTATTTATTTGATAGAAAATTTGAAACTTATAACATTTTTTATGAGGAAAAGATACAATAATTATAATATTAGTGCCTAAATGTAGTGTTATTTGTTACAACTAACAAATAATACTAATAGATTAAAAGTTGATTTATTTATTTATTTATTAAAAAGTAGGTTAAAAGTTGTATTTTTTATTTTTTAAATTTTTTTAAAAAAAGTATATAAAAAAATAAAAATATAATATGATTTAAAAAAATTAAAAAACTATTTTAATGGAGTTGCCAAAACCAACCTTTTGCAACCATGGACTAATAATTGCTGCTTACAGGTCGGCAACACTGCTGGGGACCCCACTGGGGTGACACCAACGGAGTTCGGATCCTCTCCTTGAGGCCCCTCCTCCACATCCTGCTTGTAATGGCTCAGATGAGCCGTTGGACATCCAACGACTGAGATTAAAAAAAAAATTGAAATTTTGGTCGCTCTCCCGCCCAAACAAAAACACAGCTCAGAGGTTATACAGATACAGAGCATTCTCACACAGCACTCAGCACACACCCCTTTTCCTCCGTCGAACCCATCCTCATCGGCAGCGACCCACTGTCGATACAGATTCTGTCTGCTTCGCTGCTACGTTCTTCTCCTCCACCTCACCGAACCGTTCGCTGCTATGACCCAATCTCGACGCCGTTGCAGATCCGACGACGGAGAAATACTCTTGACGCCGTTACAGATTCTGTGTACTTGGAAAAAAATAGGGGTCACTACAAAAAAATTGCTTTTTTGCGACGGTAAAACGCCGTCGCAAATGCCCCAAACGCCGTCTCAAAAAGTTTTTTGCGACGGTAAGTGGCTTTTTGCGACAGCAAGTGGGGGGTCGCAACAAAGGGGGTTGCAAAAGGGTTTTAGCGACGGCATGACGCTGTCGCCTTTTTTTTGCGACGGCAAAATGCCTTTTTTGCGACGGAAAAATTCTATCGCAAATAACGCGTGAAAATTTGAATTTTTTTGAGACGGTATTGTGTTGCCATCGCTAAAAAGGGTTTTTGTGACGGCAAAAAATACTGTCGCTAAAAGTTTATTTGAGACAGCACCTGAGCCGTCGCTAAAGGACTATTGGCGACGGCAATAACACCGTCGCTAAAGGCCTTACTTGTCAACCAATTCCCTATCTTTTGCTACAGTGAAGGTGTTGTCGCAAAAAACCCTAGTTCAATTTTCTTTTTGAGACGGTGTGTGCTGCCGTCTTAAAAAAAAAAAAAAACTGTATTAAAATTATTAAAAATATGAAAATAACCTATATTAAATGAAAAATAACTAAAAAAAAAAATCAATAATTACATAATAATATAAATACATACATAAACAAAAGTTAGCACATAATGAAAATTCATAATGTTGTTTCATTCATAACAATACATAAATAGAAATTTATAACAATAAAAATTATCCCACTACATAATGTCGCATAATACATACATAATGTTGTTCACAAATCTAAATAACGTAAATCAAAACCAAAAGTTTTCATCTTGATTCTTCCATGGGTTACAAAAACAAAAATTATAATCTTTACATGCCCGCATTCCACAAGAAGCAAACTGCTACTCAGGAAATATCTGAAAATAACAAAATAAAAATAATTAATGACAATATAATGGTGTTAATATTTTAATTATAGAAAAACATAAAAAATTAACTACTATATAATTACAAAGATGAACAGAATAAGATGCAATGATCTGATGGTCATACAAACATGAAAACAGATTTCTATTAAACACCATAGACAAGGTATTCCGTTTATTTATTCCAACTCAAGAACTGTAATGAGATAATCATCATAAAATGCATATGAATACAGACGTGTTGTAAATTTAATGTAAACCATTCTGAACTCCAAATAATAATTTCAATCGCTTAAGTAGCCTATAAAAATAGTGTAGTTTCTCAAAATTATTTGTTCATAATAGAAAAAGAAACATGGCAAACTTACTTCCATGCGATATCTTGCTCTCAATGCACACATTGAATGAAAAGAAGTGGCACACTTCTAACACTGAGTGCAAGAACCATGAGTCTGCTTGCAAATAACACATGGCTGCAGTTCAAACAAATGTATCACGTTTAGAATAGAAGGTTAGAAACATGAGGGCATATCACCAGATGTATTTCACAGTTTTTTTTTTCAGCCTCCTATGTAGATTCACACAACAAACACTGTACATGCAGGAGCCATCATATTCAAAAAAAGAATAGTGGGTCCATTTCTTTTCTAAATATGGTGGATCCTAGATGTACAATTGCCATTTTTTTTTTGGTCACAAATGAATATTTAAACAATAAAACAAAACGGTGCCATTTAACTTTTTTTTTATTTCACGACGGGAGCTGTCGTTGCTAAAAAATTTTATTTTTTGTTAAAATATATATATATATATATTTTATAGTTAATGAAATTTTTTTTTTATTTTTCATTTTTTTTAGTTACTAAGGTTGAAAATTTATTTGTTTCATTTTTTTTAATGAAATTTTTATTTTTATTTTTATTTTTGTTTTTGTAGAAGTAGGGGTAATATTTTAATGAAAAATATTTTCCGTTAAAATAAAGTTAATTTTTTTTTGTCAATGAAAAATATGTTTCTGTGGCCCATTTTTTTTTTTTTATACTAAAAATCAAGAACTAATTTTTTGTGGTAGAAGAAAGGGAGTGGCAATAATGGTGAAAACGGTGGACAAGAGGTGGTGGTGGTGGTGATGGCGATGGCGAAGGAGATTAGTGGTGAAGTTGTGGTAGTGGTAGAGAAGATGGAATGGTTGTGGTGGAGGAGAGGTAATGGTAGTAGTAGTGGCAGTAGTAGTAGTGGTGGCAATGGCGGTAGTAATGGTAATCGTAGAGGTGGAGTGGCAACAGTGGTAGTAGTGGTGATAGTGGAATGACATTTGTAGTAGTGGTAAATGTAGTAGAGGAGATGGGTGGTGAGAGAGAGAGTTGAGTGAGAGACAGATAGAGAAGAGAGATAGAGAGACAGAGAGAGAGACAAAGTGATGAGCGAGAAAGAGACAAAGTGGCCACTAAAAGTGCATTTTCTTGTAGTGGATCGATAAATTGAGAGGGAGCTCAATAAATAGAGAAGAGATGAGGGAGAGGGTGAGTAAGGTGAAATAGTGAGGGAGAGAGAGAGAAACAAATAGACAGACAAACAGACAAGTAAATAGAGAAAGAGAAGAGTGATGAGTGAGAGAGACAGAGACAGAGGCAGAGACAGAGAGAGAAAGAGAAAGAGATAGAGAGAAAGACAGAAAAAGAGAGAAAAACAAGAGATGAGCAAGAGATAAACAAAAAGAGAGAGAAAGAAAGTGAAAAGAGATTAACGAGAGAGAGGCATAGAAAAAAAAGAGATAGAGAAAGAAGAGAGATGAGCGAGAGAGAGAGACAAAAAAAAAGAAACAAAAGATGAGCGAGAGAAAGAGAGAGAGAGCGAAAAGAGATAAACGAGAGAGAGACAGAGAGAGATGAACGAGAGAGATAAAGAGAAGAGAGATGGAAGAGAGAAAAGAGAGACAGAGAGAGAAGAGAGATGAGAGAGCTAGAGAGAAGAGAGATGGGCGAGAGACACAGAGAGAAAGAGAAAGAGAGAGACAAACAGACATAGAAGAGTGATAAGTGAGAAAGAGAAAGAGAAGAGAGACAGACAGACAGAGAAGAGTGATGAGTAAGAGAGAGAAAGAGAAGAGAGACAAAGACACAGAGAGAAAGAGAGAGACAGACAAACAAAGAAGAGTGATGAGTGAGAGAGAGAAAGAGAAGAGAGATAGAGATAGAGACAAAGAGGCAGGAAGATGAAAAAATGGGTGAAAAGAGAAATGTTATATCAAAAGAGTAAGACGACGCCATTTTTTCATTTTTTTTTTTTGTGACAGAAAAATACCATTGCATTTATTTAAACCATTTTGTGACTATATATATATGAAGTCATCTCAAAGCCACAATATATATATATATATATATTTTACTCTTTTTTTTTTTTTTTTTTTTGTGCCTTTTTAAAATGTAAAAAAACCTTTTTTTTTTTTTTTTTTTTTTTGCGATTGCAGCTGGTGCCATTGCAAAAACTCTATTTTTTTGTGACAGCAATTTCTACCGTCGCAAATACTCTATTTTTTTTGCAACAGCAATTTCTACCGTCGCAAATACTCTATTTTTTGCGACAGCAAGTTGTGCCGTCTCAAAAAGTCACTTTTTTCGCGACGGCAAGTTGTCCCGTCTCAAAAGGTCACTTTTTTTTTGCGACGGCAAGTTGTGCCGTCTCAAAAAGGCACATTTTTCACGACGGCAAGTTGTCCCATCTCAAAAAGTCATATTTTTTTACAACGGCAAATTGTGTCGTCTCAAAAAGTCACATTTTTTGCGACGGCAAGTTGTGCCGTCGCAAAAAGTTCCGTCGTATAAACCCACTTTTCT